TTGAAGGGCAAGGATTTAGGTCTTTCAACCCTGATTGCATATTAGAATCAACTGGGGCACTTGTAAGGCTGACAAATCACCTCTGGATGCCATCTCAGATCAATTAAATCAGAATTTCTCAAACAATCTCTAGACTTTGGTCCTTCTTTTTTCTGAGTTAGAGTCTAAATAATTTAGAGGTCACCCAAATGAAGTCTAGAAAACTTAACTGACTTGCTTACAGTCATCTGCTAACTTGTGACTAGAAATATACATGGCAGGAAAGTGGCCTTTGGAATCAAGCTTTAACCCTCCAACCTGAGTCTCTCCAACTGTAGTCCTTGGGCTCAGGGTGGCAACCTACAATATTCCATTTAGGGAGCAGGAAAGATTCGCCCATCTTTTTCTCCCTAAGCCTGCCTGAAACTTTACTATTAGTGCTTCATTATTTAGGCTGAAGCTTAGTGGTCCTTTGCAATGAGTGCAATCTCTTATACATAGACTTTAGCAGCTTAGTGTCCGTGGGCTGACCATAGTCCCCTGACTGGCTCCAGGCTCTGTTCTGTGGGATCTGGGATCAGGAAGGGGAAGGGCTCTGGAGTCCAACTTGCCTCCCCTTGCAGCTTTGCTGAGGGCACCCAGCACAGAGAGGAGTGCCCTTCCCAGTCTGCTGCCCTGGTTGTGTCAGGTCATGGGGCCTCAGGCAGCGGTCAGGAGGATGAAGGCAGAGTGGCTCCAGGTGTGTGGCCAGGGAAACCCATGACCTCCCTGTTGTGGTATGCAGTACTCTTCCTTAAAGCCGAGTGCGGCAGTGGCCAGGCCCAGATTGGCTACGGCTGTGCTCCACCCGATGGTTTCAACCCAACCAAGGCTTTCTGGCTCAGCAGCTCAGGAAGGGAGTGGGAGCTGGGCTTAAGGAATTAGGAATGATACACCAGTTATTTGCTTAATTCAGTGTCTCCCCCCTCCACTCATACTATCAGAATTCTAATTTTGTTTGAGGCTGCAAGAGTGTCCACGCAAAAAACTTACTACCTCAGACACCCTACAGATAGGTGCAGCCACGTGACCTGAGTTTGGCCAATGGCATGTAAGCAGAAGTCTCTGGGTGGGGCTTCCTTGGAAGCTTTTAAAAGGCAGCTCCTTTTCTGACCTGGAGTAGTGGACCCGGCACCTGGAGCTGCTTCGGCCAACTTGACACTACGAGGCTGGACGCCATGGGCTGAGGATAAGAGCCCTGTGGTGGTGGAGGAAGGCGCCACCAGGGTACTCTGTGACTTCGAGAGCAGTTTCACCAGCCGTGGACGGACTACCTGGGACTTCCTGGTATGTGAGCAACATAAACCTCTATTTGGTGAAGCCATTGTGGCTGGATTTATTTTACAGCTGAATGTAATCCTCAAACTCAGGACCTCAGAAAGTTTCTGGTCTGGAAACGGGAAGGTCCAGGCAAGAAGGTGGTCCCCAGGAATTAAAGGAGAAGGAGAAAGGCTTTTATTTATCTGTTTTGAATTACTATTCCACTCTATAATCTTTAGTGCATTCCCTATTTCCCAAGGGATTAAGTTTATATTCCTCAGACCAATGTTCAAGGCTCTCTAAAACTTAGCCCCAAACCAATTTTCCAGGCCTGTTACCTTTTACACCATTCTCTGGAGCAAGTGTGACCCTTCTCTCCTGGATACACGTTACACACTCCCAGCCTCATCTTCAGTTGTGTGAGGCATCCCACCTGATTTCCACCTGTTCGGACTTACCTAGCCTTACGAGCTCGTCTTTCAAGAAGACTTCCTCTATCACCCTGGGCTCCAGGGAGCTCCTCTATGACCTCATTTATAGCTGAGGTCTGTATACTGATAGCTGCTTTATATTTTCACGTGTGTTAAACTCATCTCCCCAGCAAGGTTGTGAGATCCTCCCTAAGGCAGGATCTTGGGAGCAGGGTAACATAGAAAGAACATGTGCCCTGGGATGATCGTGGTTAAGTCTAACCTCTCTGAACCTCGGTATCCTTGGCTGTGAAGCGGAGATGATAAACATTTCTACCTACAGGGTTTTGGTGATGATAGCCTCCTTAGGGACTTAGGGCGCATGACGTGTTCGCATTGGTGCTGAAGAGGCGCTTGTACATTGGCTTGTTACCCGGCTGGTAACTGCTTAGCTGGGCCTTTTTCCTATCCTTTGCCACCCTCTCTCTTCTGATTTTTTGCTTTGCATTTGAACCAGAAGATCTGCTTTAAGTTTGGGGAGTGACCATGAGTAGTTCTCATTTTCCTAGAGGGCAGATCTAAGGCTAGTGGCTTCAGTATTCAAACACAATAGGGAAGAGTAGATTTCATGTCTGTGGCTAAAGAGGTGGGATGAGATGCTCACTTAACTGCTCAGGGGAGTTTACTTTCTCTGAAGATTAAGAAAACTGAATGTATTTAAGTCTAGTTTTACCTGGCAACAGATGGATGGATTAAATGACCTTATAGCACTTGTGTTTTTTTGGTTTGTGCATGTGTGTGTGTTTTATAAATGCCCAGTTCTGTCTGCTCTAAGAAGGTAAACAGGTGGACCTTAAACTTTTTGCTATCCTTATCTCCATCTCTCTCACCTCAACTCCATGGGGCAGAAACCCAGATCAAATAAAATCAGAAGAAGTGACCCACACCACAATGGCCCATCCTTGAAAGTTTAATGAGAAATGACACTTCTATCACTTCCAAATTAAGTGCCTGTCACATGCAGCTGTCAGTGGGGATGGATATATGGCGCCGGGTGGGAAATGAGAAGTCACCATGGACTTAAACGGCATGATAATGTGTACTGACACTGAAGTCCCAAGGCATTTTTTCACGTGATTTTACTGAGAGTCGCTCAAGAGCCGATGAGACAGAAACTTATTCTCTTGTCCCTCTGAAGGCAGAGCCCTATGCCAGAGGAGAGAAGGGGTCAATAAAGACTTGATTAATTGCACAGCTGTGTCCAGCCTCGTCAGTTTGCCACATTATCACTAAAGTATCCTGTGGCACAGCCAGCCATCGTGGCTGGGCTGCTGGGCTCAGAGCAGCTGACAGTCTGCAAGGAGTGTTTGTGTGTTGAAGGGCTGAGGGGCTGGTGACTGGGGGAGTTGAACCCCTTTTCTTTGTTGCGGACATGTGGGGCAGCTTCACTTTGTGCCTGACCGTGAGCCCTCTGGTGTTCAGAGTCTATTCCTTTGGGTGGTTGTCTGTTTGAGGGGCTGTGAACCTCTCTACTGTGGACAACTGTATGCTTGTTCTGTATCTCTGTGTCAGTGTATTTGTTCCTTGGTTAGCTTTTCTGCATTTTTGTGAGTGTGTGTGCTTGGATTAGTAGGTGGGTACAGGGGTGGGGGTGTGTGCCAACTTTTTTTTTTTCCTCATGTCCAGCTTTCCAATAGAGTAGAATTAATGACGTCCTCTGGGTCTAATCAGGCATTTAATTCCTCCTTCCTTATGTCCCCTAGGAGTATGCCCTTATTTTGCCACATGCCTCATCCGGGGGACACATAGCTCAGTGATAGGGATACTCCTTGTCCACCAGGTTCAGCTAGGCCTGTGCCGGGCTCCCTGGAGCTTCACTGCCTCTCCTTTTTAACCATATGCTGTCTGAAGGCCAGCTGTGTACAAGTCTGCTCAGGCCCAGTGCTAAATGAGGCCTGGCCAGTGGCCTGGTGATGGTATCCTGCCATGTTGGCACAGCTGGAGGGAGCTTGGGAGTCTTGGCTCCTGTATTAGTTTCCTGTGGCTGCTGTAACAAACTGCTACAAACTTAATGACTTAAAATAACACAGACTTATTCTCTTACAGTTCTGGAGGTCAGGAGCTTAACATGGGGTGGCAGGGCTGGGCTCCCTCCAGAGGCTCTAGCAGAGAATGCTTCTATTGCCTTTTCTGGTTTCTAGAGGCTTCCCACATTTCCTGACCCACAGCCCCGAGTCATTCCGGCCCCTGCTTCCACGGTCACGTCTCCTTTCTGACTCACACCCTCCTGTCTCCCTTTTACGAGGGCCCTTGTGACTACCACGGGCCAACCTGGATAATCTGGGATCATTTCCCCACTGCAAGGTCCTTAATGCAATCACATCTCAGCCTCTTTTGCCATATGAAGTATTCATGGGGATTAGGACATGGACATCTTTGCAGAAGATGGGGGCGGGGGCCGCTCCCAAGCCGATCACAGGCTTCCCACCTCTCAGAGGTCTATGAACACGAGCAGATGTGCTGAAACCCAAGCCAGCTTGGTCATGATGTACTTCCAGGGTTCTGGAAAGGTGTTCTAAACACTCCTTCCCTGCAGATATCTCCCTGACCTGCTAACATCTGATATCTTCCTCTTGGGATAAAGCATCGTGTCCACAGTGAGAACTCAGGCTCTGTATAAGGTGGCATGAACATGTTTCTTCACTCTTGGGTGTAAATGACTGACAGCAGGGCTCTTCCTAAGAGTGGATTCTGACTGAACAGAGGCACAAAGTGAACAAATGCGGTGCCCGGGAGGCTGGGATCATGCACTGATAACACTCTAGCATGGCAGGGGCGAGGGTTCCCAGTGATGGAGAGAGCAAAAGCACTTGGAAGTATGACCAGAAAGTTTTAATCAAACAGAGCAAAATGGCCGCGATGCAGAACAGGTAGTGCTTGGCGAAGAGAAAGAAGACCATCTCCTTGGTGACATAGATGATATGAATGAAGATGAAGCAGTACAGGAACATGGCAAACTGGTTCTGGGGCAGCAGGAGGTTCTGGAGGCCTCCTGAAAACTGTGAGGGAGAGAAGACGGTGGAGATGGTGATGCCACTGTTGGCGCCAGGCAGATCTAGGTTCAGTCCTGCTCTGTCCCTGCCTGTATGTGACCTCAGGTCATCATCTTCACCTAAGGAAGGGGTAATAGTGCCTATTTCCAAAATCATGAGGGCTGGGCAAGGTGGCTCATACCTATAATCCCAGTACTTGGGGAGGCCAAGGTGGGAGGATTGCTTGAAGCCAGGAGTTTGAGACCAGCCTGGGCAATGTAGTGAGACCCCTGTCTCTATAAAAAAAATTTAAAAATTAGCCAAATGTGGTGATATGTGCCTATAGTCCCAGCTATTGGGAGGCTGAGGTGGAAGGATCACTTGAGCCCAAGAGTTCAGGGTTATAGTGAGCTAAGCTCATGCCACTAACTTCAGCCTAGGTGAGACAGCAAGATCCTGTTTCTAAAAAATAAATAAATAAAAGATCACAGGAGGAAAACTGAGATAATGAAACATTCCTAGTCAGGCAACTAGCACACAGAAGGAACTCATCATTTTTCACTTTTTGAGCTGCCCTTATCCCTCCTGACTGGGGCACCAGGCCACCACCTTCCTTTCTCTTTATGGTCTGTACTGCCCATTGGAGCCACACACGTGGGCCTTCTCTCTCTGACTCCAAGAGCCTCACATCTGGATCTGGGGTCTTGGGAGTGTTCTCTCACAGTGCCCTGACATTCAACCTAGTTTCCTGGACAGTGGCCCAATAATACAGTGTCCGTTGCATATAAATGACTGTTTCCGACTCCCTGGGTCCTGACACATATCACGTGCGTCAGTCCATGGTCCTTCAGTCCAGAGTTTGGTCTTTCCTGGAGGCAGGTGCTGAGAGATTGGTGATGGGGTCTCCCTAAACCCTCAGAATATTTGGGCTGGGGGAAAGCAGCTTGAGTTGTCTGGCTAATTCTGCCTGCGGGTTGCTCTTCTCTTGAATCTATATAATTGGGGCCCAACAGTCTTCATTTTAACTGTAGAAAGCGTCAATGTATAAGTAAGGCAAAAGCTGATACTATGTTGATCCATAGTTAAGAGGGCATAACCCATGCATTATTTTTAAAAATATTTGTAAAAATCATGCCATATTTTTTGGAAAGCACCAGGTGGCAGGGAGCGAGATGCCCTAAACTAGCTAGAAACACACTCAAAGAGGTATTTTTAATTCAATAAACTCTGTCTGTCCATCTATTTACCCTCCCAGAAAAAGAGAAGAGGGGAAGCTTCAACATCAAGTCAACTCTCCAATTTTTAGTAAATGTACAAAAAGTAAACACTTTTGTAAACTATTGCCAAAGGCTGGGGGATGAGGACACATTACTATTGAAACAGCTACATAAAATGTGAGGGCAACTAGACCAAACTGAGGGGACAGAAAATGACTCTGGTGATGCTGCCTCTAAAATCAATAGCTAGGAAAGTTGGAGACCAGAGAAAGCAATCCAGTGTTCTAATGGGAGTGGAGGGCGGGGCTGACCCGACGGTTCTCTGCAGGCTCAGTATGGCTCTGGATCCCTGGACTTTGCCACCTCTCTGCTCTGCGCGTGTTTCAGTCTGAAATGCTGACAGGTGATCATTATGACTTTCATTTAAAAAATGTGCTTGTGAAACCCTTTAGACTTTCCAAAATACTTTCAATGTTCTATCTTTTGAGCAGAAGAGAGATAGAGATAGGACTATATACCAAAGATTTTCATCTCATCCAGGGAGGAGAAAGATTTTCAAACTAAAAAGGAGGGAAAATAAATATGGTTGGAAGGAGACACAGGCCAAAGGCATAGTTACAATATCATATCTGCTTTAAATAGTTTCAGGCTCCACTTTGTGACAGATTTTATCCCAGGCTACTGAGAAAAGTCACAAGTTTGGAAATGGAACTTAGAATTCAAGAATATTAGCAAGTGCGCTAAAGTCCAAGCAATAGGCAAATATTTTCTAGACTTTTCAAAAAGGGGGTGGGGGCAGGGGAAGATTCTGGAAATCCCAGTTTGGTAAGCTTGACTGAGTTCAGTGAAATCATTTCACGTATAATGAAGCAGGTATTTTGTGAACAGAAAAAAAGATAATTGTTTAGGAAGCCAGCATGTGTTCATTGAGAACAAATGATGCAAAACCAACCTTACTTCTTAAAAAAACAAAAACAAAAACGGGACTAGTCAATTGGGGAAATGCTATAGGTGATATAATATCTTAATTTTGGGAAACCATTTGACAGTGCGTCTCCGTTTTTTGGATAAGGTGGAGAAATGTTAGCAGGATAAAATGTAACTCAAGGGTGATGATTAATGAGACACTGCCAACCTATAGAGAGACATTTAGTGGTATTTACTTTAGGTCATATCCTCCTCAACAATTACAGCAGTGACTGACTTGGATAAAGGCAGAAGGCACGTTCTCAGAACTGAGGATGACTCAGAGCTGGGAAGCACAGCTAATACATCACATCCCAATAAAACTGAAAAATGATGTATGTTGTTGCATTTGGGTCAAGAAGTGAATTGCATGAGTACATAAAAATGGTAATAGCTAACATTTATTGAGTGCTTACTTAATGTGCTGGGCTAATTGCAAAGTGCCTTGCATGTGTTCTCTTATTGAATCCTCACAACAACCCTATGAAGTAGGTACTACTTCATGGATGAGCAAGCCAAAGCTAAAAGAAATCAGTAATTTGCCCAATGTCAGGGAGTTTATACCTGGTATTTTAACCCAGGACTTTCTGACTTTAAAGCCCAGGAAACACTGCTTTAAACATCTTCCACTGTTGAATGCTTACGATAGCCTAACCACTGTGCTAAGCTCTTCACGTCCCATTTAATCTCAAGTCGGGCATTCTTATCCCCCTTTAATACAGATTAGGGAAGAGTGGTGTACTTCTTGTGAAAAGATGGCTGTTTCAGTTGACTACAAGGCAGTATGATCCAACAGAATAAACATAGCCCTGATCGGGGAGGTGATGGTTCTGTCAAAATCCACTGGCCAGGCTGCAGTGGGGATTCTAAGTCTAGCCTCCAGGCACCAAATTTTAAGAGATGCAGAGAGAACTTGTGAGCGGTGGAAGAGGGAGGAAACGTTGAAGACTTTTCCTTGAAGCTACCAAAAATGCTGTTGGGTGGGCGATGTGGTTCTGGGGCCCCTCCCAGCCTCAGCTCTCCTTAGAGAATCACATCTCAGCTTCCTGTGGACGCTCTGTTTAACAGAGCTGGCCAGGTAGAGTAGTGAGCTTTAAGTCTGTGAGCCGACATCTCTGGACGTAAGCCAAGACAGAGAGGGCTGGAGACCGCCCTTGTGGATGCTCAGCCCCTTTCAGCCGAGATCCAGGATCTGCAGGGTGGGATGCCGTGCAAACCAGGGAAGGTGGGCGCCTGCTCTAGGCCCCACGGGACCGCAGCTCCAGGCCTCCCTCCTCCCAGTGCCCCATTCCTTGTCACCCACCAGGCGGGGTGCTGCCTCTTGCTGCAGCTGCTCCATCACCACCTCGTGCTGCCGCTCCCTCTGCAGCTGCCCCATCACCACCTCGTGCTGCCGCTGCCGCTCGTTCTCCTCATGCAGGTACTTGAGCCGTGTGAGCTCAAACTCCATGCGCACCTTCTCCAGCTCCATCTCGGGATTGCGCTCAGTCCCAGGGGCCGGGGGCAGCTCTGCGGGTTTGGGTCCGTCGCCTGCCTGGCCTTTGGTGGCAGGGCAGGACTTGGGGGACAGCGATTTAAGCGGCCCTTGGCAGCCGCCGTCCTCACAAGCTTCCATCTCTTCCAAGTAGTCATAGGAGGAGTCTGGCTTCTGGGACTCTGCCTCCTGGGGCAGGGGAAGCAGGGAGGGGAGGTACTATGAGGAGTCAGGATGGGGCTGTTCCCGACCCCATGGAACTCCCGCAGCCCCAGGAATTGAAAAGATCTAGGCTGAATTCTTATTAGAAGTGCTTTTACCCGGAGTTGTCAGAACCTGAGGGTCAAGAAGGAGAGGACAAACTAGCACCAAGTAATGGTGCCCTAAAGTTGCAAGTGGAGGCACTGGGAGTTGAGTAGATGGATGTCCATTTTCCTAGTGATTTTTCAGATCACCAAAGAGGCAACTTCCGGGTCCATCCTCAACTCTACCTGACTTTGAGATCAGTCAGAGGGAGAAAGAAACCTAGGGTCTGAGTTGAGAGAACCTAAATATTTGGGGACCAGGAAGAGGGCTATGGTGGGGAACCAGGTCCTATCCACCCAGCAAGGGGAGGGCCCCAAGTGGGGAGGTAGATGGAGGAGACCAAAGCCATCTTCATGTGACTTCACAATCTTATGGAGGGCTACCTAGTCCCTGGTGACAGCTGGGTGCCAGTTACAGGGGTGGGGTACCTGTCACCTGATGTTCTTGGCAGCTGTCTGGAATCTCAAAGTACTTAGCTCCTATCATGTGTTCCTACAGTATTCTTGCTCCCCCTGACGGAATAGGTGGGGTCCGTGAGACACAGCAGCCCCCTTACCAGACAAGCCCTTGGCTTCCCTTCAGACTTGGAGTCACCAGGCACCATCTTGGGGAAGGTTGGGCAACTTTCTCCCGCACCCCGGGCTTCCATCATCTCCCTGTCCTCTGCTGCCATCCAGAAAACCAGAACGCTGCCAGGTGGGGTCACAAGACATCATTTGAGGTGCTGACATTTGGCCTCACCAGATTCCACAGCCTGGCCACCATCACAATCCCATGTCCTCATAATAACCTACATTCTACAAGTTGCTAGGGCCCCTTTGGTGGAGGGTGACACTTTTGAGGTGCTAACATGCTAACATTAAGAACTGCAGGATGGGCCTTTCCTGCCCATAACGATTGCTTTAAAAACTAGAGTTCTACCTTATGAAACTCAGAATTCCACCATTTGAAATCTGTTCCCTTGGGTTCCTTTTTAAAATGAAGATTGTGTTGGGATAAGTCTCAGCTCCACAAACCCTGTTATGGGCTAAACCAGGTCCCCCTCTTTTCCCAAAATTCCTATGTTGAAGTCCTAACTCCCAGCCCCCAGTACCTCAGAATGTGACCTTATTTGGAGACAGGGTCTTTATAGAGGTGATTAAGTGAAATTGAGATCGTTAGGATGGGATCCTAATCCAGTATGACTGGTGTCCCTGTAAGAAGATGATGATGTGAAGACAAGGGAGAAAATGGCCATCTACAAACCAAGGAGAGACGCATTGTATTAGGGTTCTTCAAAGAAACAGAACACAAAATGACATTTGTTACACAGAATTGGCTCATGCAATTATGGAGGCTGAGGAGTTTTATGATCTCCCATCTGCAAGCTGGTGCTCCCAGAAAGTGGGTGGTATAAATTCCAGTGAGTGCAAAGGCCTGAGAATCAGGAGCACTGATGGTGGAAGTCCCAGTCCAAGGGCAGGAGGAGACTGACGAATCACCTCATGTAGTCAGGCAATTGAATTGAGAGCACCAATTCAACAGCAGTCTGCCTTATTCTGTTTAGGCCCTCCGTGGATTGGATGAAGCCCACCCACACTGAGGAGGGCAGACTGCTTTAGCAGACTGCTTTACTCAGTCCACCAATTCAAATGTTAATCTCTTCCAGAAACACCCAGAAATAACATTTAATCAAAGATCTGGCCATCCAATGGCTCAGTGACGTCGACACATAAAATTAACCATCACGGACCTGGAACAGATCATTCTCTCCCAGTGCTCAGAAGGAACCAACCCTGCTGGCACCTTGATCTCTGATGTTGAGTCTCCAAGATTGTGAGAAAATAAATTTCTGTCACTTATACCAACCAGTCTGTGGTTCTTTGTTACAGCAAACCTAGGACACTAATACAACCTGTCATTCATACTCCCACGTGGGTAGAATGGAGGGCTGGGGAATATATTTTGTCATCTTCCATTTTGTGAAAACAGCAGCAAAACATCTTTGGTAGCTGAAAGCAGGATTGCAATATGGAAAGATAAAGGGCTGCATTTGAATTCCGGCTCTGCTACTCTCTCCAGCTGTGTGACCAAGGGAAAGTGTAGTCATTTGTAAATGGCTAAAAAGATTTAGCCACTTCCCTAGGTTGCAGCACCGATGTGAAAATTACATAGGGTAGGAGGCGGGGGGTTCCAAGATGGCCAAATAGGAACAGCTCCAGTCTACAGCTCCCAGCGTGAGTGATGCAGAAGACAGGTGATTTCTGCATTTCCAGCTGAGGTACTGGGTTCATCTCACTGGGGCTTGTCAGACAGTGGGTACAGCCCACGGGGTGTGAGCCGAAGCAGGGTGGGGCATCACCTCACCCGGGAAATGCAAGGGGTTGGGGAATTCCCTTTCCTAGTCAAGGGAAGCTGTGACAGACGGTACCTGGAAAATCGGAACACTCCCACCCTAATACTGCGCTTTTCCAATGGTCTTAGCAAATGGCACACCAGGAGATTATATCCTGCACCCACGGAGCCTTGCTCACTGCTAGCACAGCAGTTTGAGATCGAATTGTAAGGTGGCAGCGAGGCTGGGGAAGGGGTGTCCGCCATTGCTAAGGCTTGAGTAGGTAAACAAAGCAGCTAGGAAGCTCAAATTGGGTGGAGCCCACTGCAGTTCAAGGAGGCCTGCCTGCCTCTGTAGATTCCACATCTGGGGGCAGGGCATAGCTGAACAAAAGGCAGCAGAAACTTCTGCAGACTTAAACGTTCCTGTCTGACAGCTTTGAAGAGAGTAGTGGTTCTACCAGCGTGGAGTTTGAGATCTGAGAATGGACAGATTGCCTCCTCAACTGGGTCCCTGACTCCTGAGTAGTGTAACTGGGAGGTACCTCCCAGTAGGGGCCGACTGACACCTCATACGCCGGGTGCTCCTCTGAGACTAAGCTTCCAGAGGAAGGATCAGGCTGGAGTGAACCTCCAGCAAACTCCAACAGACCTGCAGCTGAGGGTCCTGACTGTTAGAAGGAAAACTAACAAACAGGAGGGACATCCACACCAAAACCCCATCTGTACGTCACCATCATCAAAGACCAAAGGTAGATAAAACCACAAAGATGGGGAGAAACCAGAGCAGAAAAGCTGAAAATTCTAAAAATCAGAGCACGTCGTCTCCAAAGGAATGCAGCCTCTCGCCAGCAATGGAACAAAGCTGGATGGAGAATGACTTTGACGTGTTGAGAGAAGAAGGATTCAGATGATCAAACTTCTCCAAGCTAAAGGAAGATGTTCGAACCCATCACAAGCTAAAAATCTTGAAAAAGGATTGGATGAGTGGCTAAATACGATAACCAGTGTAGCAAACTATCACAAGAACAGAAAACCAAACACTGCATGTTCTCACTCATAGGTGGGAATTGAACAATGAGAACACTTGGACTCAGAGTGGGGAACATCACACACTGGGGCCTGTCGTGGGGTGGGGGGAGGGGGGATGGATATCATTAGGAGATATACCTAATGTAAATGACAAGTTATTGGGTACAGCACACCAACATGGCACATGTATACATATGTAACAAACCTGCAGGTTGTGCACATGTACCCTAGAACTTAAAGTATAATAAAAATTTGATAGGGTGTTTAGCCCACGCACTGCCCACACAGGGACTAGGCAAAAGATAACCATGATCGCCATTATTATGCAGAGTAGATTTGCCACTGGGGAGAGGAGCATGCTCAAGGTTCACTTTCTGTCTTTGCAAATCTTTAACTGAACCATGACTTTCCCCTCCCAACATTATGGTGGTGACCATGTAAATGATCTCACAGCTGTTGTGTAAGATATCTATACTGTCTCAAGCACTCCTGGGAGTAGGATTACCAGATAAATACAGGATTCCCAGTTAAATTTGAATTTTAGATAAATAATTTTTAGTATAAATATGTTCTAAAAATTGCACAGGACACATTTCTACTAAAAAATTATTTGTCTGAAATTCAAATTTAACTGGGCATCCTGTATCTTTATTTGTGAAACCTGGCAATCTTAACCAGGAGAGATCTGCTCAAAGACACAATGACATGTGTACAAATAATCCACTGCTGTTAAATCACCAAGTATGGAAATGCACAATAAGTACTATGGGTAGTTGTCAGCTGTAGATCAAACAACCCTAAATGGTCAGTGGCCTACAACAATAAACATTTCCTTAGCTCAGACATTTAAAGGTGGGCTGATTTAGGCTGGATTCAACTGGGGGAGCTTGGCCAAGGCAGCTTTGTTTCATGTATCTCTTATCTTCCTCTTGGGAATAGTGGGGTAGCCTGGGCATACACTTTGCTCGGGGATGGAAGAAGTACAAGAGGCCTTGGAGCTGGCACACCATCACTTCCATCTTATGTTATTGGAGAAAGCCAGTTGTATGGACAAACTCAAAGTCAAAGGATGGTGAAATGTACTCTGCCCAGTTAGTGGGAGGAACCATAAAGAAAGACAAAAGGTCTGGATATAGGGGATGAAGAATTGGGGCCAATCGGGCAATGTACCATAGGAGTTAAGAGGTCAGGGGTCAGGGTCTCATGCCTGTAATCCCAGTACTTTGTGAGGCTGAGTCTAGAAGATCACTTGAGCCCAGGAGTTCAAGACCAGCCTGGGCAGCAGTGGGAATCCATCTCTACCACACGCACACACACACACACACACAAAATTAGCTGGGAATGGTAGCATGTATCTAGGGTCCTAGCTACTTGAAAGGCAGAGGTGCAAGGATCACTTGAGCCCACTTAAGTGAGCCGTGATCTTGCCACTGCAGTTCAGCCTGGGTGACAGAGTCGGACTGACTCAAAAAAAAAAAAAAAAAAAAGGATCAGTGCTGATGTGGTTGGAGTAGCTGAGAAAGGTTTGGTGGAAGAGGGAACATGAAGGGTGGGTGGGATTTGGGTGAGAGGAAAGGATCAGCATGAGCACAGTGTCAGTTGATCCTCATCATCTGTTGCCTTCTGTTTCTGCTCTCTGCCCTTCCCCTAGGAGGCAGACCTCCATGAAAGTGCACTAATTCATTAAGCAAAGCAATGTATTCCAAAGCAACACACAGTCTAGCATTCTCATTTCCCTGTCTCTAGACCCCTGTCCTTTAGGGAACTTCCCAGCAGTTGAGGAAACGGGTCTTATGAGCCTTGGGTCAGTTTGGCACTGGTGACAGTGTGAAAAGAGTTTCTGCTTCCTCTGTTGAGCTCAGAGAAAGGAATTGTATAGTAAAGCCATATGCAAGGGTAAAGGAGACAAGAACACGTGGGAGCCCAGCAACAGGGATGAGGGATGAGCTGGCTTAGCAGGGACTGTGCTGGTTTCGGGGCAATTTTGGGACCAGCAGCCAGAGTTGGTGCACCTTCACATGTGCCTTGTCATTGGTATAACTTGGCTGATTCCGGTGTTTCTGCTTCTCCGTATCCCCTCACTTCCCACCAACAGCCTTCCTCACCCCCGCCCTGCCAACCCCCAACCTCCAACCTCCTGCTTCACTGTAGGCAAGGTTCCTGCCTCCTCCCGACTTCAGCTTACTCATAACTTCAGCTTCTAAGGGCTCTTCATAGCCCCAACTGTATGGCCTCTCTGTATGCCTTCCGTGTTGCTTGTCCTACATGAGTCACTCATGATTTCCTGGTAGAC